AGACGGACACCGCTGATGCAACACTAACCTCAATTTGCTTCATAGCTGTGCAAAGGGTGGACTGTAGCCTCTTCACCTCCCTGATGGTGTCCTCCTCTTCTACGACCACAATTTCCTCCCCTTGCTTGCAGAAGATGCGGACGGTCTGAGGTCGTGATCCTCCACGCTCGATCTCCTCGACCCCGTCCGCTTCCTCCATAGTCGGTGGCGTTCTCTGGAGGCTCGGTGGCCGCATAGAGCGACCGACCTCGCCCTGCGGCATCTCAGGGTGCGCTGCTTGCTCCTCTAACGGTGCCGGCCTCTGCGCCCTAGATTCCGACACATCATCGGCAGCTCTCACTTCCTCCTTTGAAGACTCGGTGGCTCTCGCCGTTGCTCTTGGCGTCTCTGTCGAATCGTCCATCGTTGTCACCGACTGGTCTCCACCTCCAACGCTATCGACAGCGGTGGTCGAATCCCCCACGAACCGACGAGCGTCCGGGGACTCTAGGACGGAGTCTGTCCATAATGTCTCCGTGTCAGGACCAGCCCCTGGCTGCTCGCAAGTCTAGCCTAAAGGATTCAGATCCTCTGCGAGCCCCGTTCTGCATCAGATTAGCCCATCGATCATCGCCACTATAAAGATCCTATAGCAACCGATCCCAAAGCAAAGATACTTACACATTGGCTTCCCGATGAATGGTTCTGAATCGGCGCTGCCTCCTCGAGCCACCAGGCCCTGCTCTAGGGTCGACCTGCATGTCCTAGGCTGGTGGTCTTGGGGCCCCCGCCGTCGGCGTCTTCTTCGTCGGTTGCTTCTCGGGGACTCGACGCTGGACGTCTGCTCCTCCCTTTGATCGTACCTCCGCGCGCGTTCCGCGCGATGACGTTTTGGCGCTTGGAGGGGGAGCTACTGGAGTCTCGTCATCGTCTGACCACTCGAATATCGCCGCACTCTGTGTCTGAGCGGTCCGACCACCACCAAATGAGATGCCGACTGGCTTGCGGGGAGTTACATTCACCGTTCTTCTTTTCTTTCAGGCTAGCTCATCTTTCACCGTCCTTTTTCCCCAAACTTTCTTCGGTACCGGGGGGACTCCGCTTTTGACCAGCACCTTCGCCTCCGTATTCGGACAAGGTACTGACGGCACCTTCCTCCGGCTGAGTGGTCGACTTGGTGTCCACTGCCTCTGGCCATTCGCTCCTCGGCACGCCTGAGAAGTATGCCACCTGTTCCTGCCAATTGATTTTTCCACAAGCAAATTAGTCCACTGCTCAGCGCCAGCACGGGATAAAAAGCACTAGGAACAACAGTTGAGATTTTTACCTGAGGAGGTGAGTTCGTGCAGTTGAAGGGTTTCGGCTGCCCCAGCACGGTGTACGACACGTTTGGAGCGAATAGTTCAGCGGCCCAGTGTAGCACAGCCTTTTTCATTAGGTTCTTCGTCCTCTCCCGGGTGCCGTCAATATCTCCTTTGAAGTCAAAACCCGCATGAGCCCTCGCCTTGCAGGGCTGGACGCTGCGTAGTATGAAATTCACCGCCACCACCACTCCACTCATCTTTATGCCCCTCATTAGGTCGAGGAGCTCCTTCACCTGTTCACTGTTCCATATCGGCACTGGTCAGTTTCTCCGACCAGCTCCTTTGATTCTCCGAAATCTGGTCGATATCACATCGGACGGCAGAATTAGTTTGCTTCATATAGAACCACCTGGCATTCCACCCCTTCAGTGAGGTATTCAACGGCACAGGAATGTATTCACTCGCCATCCCGTCGTGGAGCTATAGATACACACCGCCGACAACTTTGGAACCGCCCCCTCCTTTCTTCTTGAGCTAGAAAAAGTGTCGGAAGAGATTGAAATGGGGAAGAATGCCAAGATAAACCTCGCAGAAGTGGATAAACACATAAATGTGAAAAGTGTTCGGATGAAGATTACATAAGCTCACTCCCCAATACTCCAACAGATCTCGCAAGAAAGGGTGTACCAGAAGCCCTAATCCATGCTAGAAGTAATCTTCGAATACAACGAGTTCGTCGGTGTGTGGCATCGGATAGGGCTCACCATCGGTCGGACGCCATCCGACGGTGACACGATTAGGAAGAACACCCGCCACCACCATCTCGTTGAGCTCCGTCTCCCCCATGAGTGACGGTACCCATTCCTTATCACGGCTCACCCCGGTGGCCGCCTTCTTCACGTTACCACCTCCCTTTTCGACGCTATCCCTCAGATCTGGATCAGAACTGGTCCCTTTATGCAAGCTTTTTAGCCCTAGCGGCGGAGCGCGTGTGAATGCGAATGGAGGAGCACGAGGGTGAGGAGGAAGACGAAGTGACGCAGTGGCAAAGGTGGGAGCGTGGAGTGTGGCGACGCAGTTGTAAAGCCACCCTCCCGACTTTTCGCATTCAAAGGTTTTTGGGAAGCCGCACCATGCCGATTTGCGCCCTTTCGAAATCCCCAAAGCAGCGTGCTGGGCCGTTATCTGGGCTTCCGCGCAACTACGGCCCATATCGCCCATTTTCGATGCAACTCGGTACTACACACCGAATATTCACCGACCTCTCCGCAATACCATCAAGGCTCAGTAATTTCTACTGTACAGTCATTACTCCAGTTTTTCTCCACGATGTGAGTAATCGGCACTTCTTGATTTATCCGAGATTTTCACTTGTGGCTCGGGGACTACGTCATCATTATGATTCGGTTTCTCACCATACTGGGGACTTTTTTTCTGGTTACTGTTATTTTTTACCCTGGCACCACGTGACCACGTCACCTACTGTCAGGCTCGAGGACTATGTGGGCATACTTCACCTTGCGGTGAATGTGTGCTTTTCATTTCAGGGCTCAGCCCATGGACTGGTTGCCCGTTCGGCTGGTCTTCTGTTTTTCTTCTACTTTCTAGACCCTAGCACCACATGACCACGTCACCTACTGTCAGGCTCGGGGACTAAGTGGGCACACTTCACCTTGCGGTGAGTGTGTTTTCTTTAAACTGTTCATTGGAAGACTCCGTGCCTCCCAAAGTTAAAGAAGATTATCTCCCTTTGTCGTGGTCGGACTCTAAGTGGGCACACTTGGTTCACAGCGAGAAAATTTTTTATTTTGAACTTAAGCTCCTTACATCCTTCTAGCAAGCCTTACTTGGGTAAGCCCAGGCTCGGTCGAACAAGTTAAGCTAGTCAGTTACGGTCCACAACTGCTCGGCGACTCATTAGGGTGGTCGAACTATGAGTCTGACTGCTCGGCTTTGTTTACACCTACTCGGATAAGCTCAAGACGATGTTGCATAGCGGATACAAGGCGCTCAGGGACTAGCTGTGGGGGGTACGACCCCGGATACCCACGGCAGACTACATGGGCTGCGCCGCCAGGTGTGGTCCAGCCCACAAGACGAAGGCTTACGGTGCACGGTACTGCTCGGCGTGTACCGCAAGATATCATGGGCGATATCCTGAAGATGCTACGAGATCTGTTAGGATATGTTCGATCCCGTGATTCCTGTAATCTGTTATTACTTACCGGTTATCTCCTAGATCTAACCGACTTGTAACCCTACGTCCGGCTATATAAGGCGGGTAGGGGACCCCCTCAAAACACACGCAATATCATACGATAGCCAATACAAACCAACATACCACAGTAGTAGGGTATTACGTCGTGCTGACGGTCCGAACCTATCTAACTCTTGTGTCTGTATTGTCTTCTTGTTCTTGATTACGCGCACCTCTGCCGATTAATCTTCCTTCGTGGGATACCTCTCGGAGGACTGCCGACGATATTCTGTCGACATAGATGTACATCTTACATGCTGTTTTGAAGGGTTCGTCTCCACCACCTCCTTGCTCCTGGCAATTGCAACACAAGACTCCAATCCGCCGTAGACGAAGCTTGAGCCCTCCTTGCGTCCCTCTAACCATAGATCTGCCTCACGGCCCTCAACAATCGGCGGGGACGACGCCCCGCGGGGAACTCCACGTTGGAGAGGAGATGAGACATCTAGGCATGGTGACTGCTGTGGAGGGGCACAGTGAGGGGATGGGCGACGCGGCGGGATGGCTGGGGGACGGGCGGCGTGGCGGGGGGACCGGCCGCCCGCGAGCATGGGATGCTGTGACTGGCGAGTGAAGCTCTGTTCGGATTGGTGGGATCGACTCGAAACGTTATTTGGTGCATCCTACACGAATTGAAACGGGACAACGTGCTGAAGCCGGTCGGGCGCTGAAGCCGGGCGTCCATATGCTAGGTGCGTTGTATGCCTTTTAGTCTCTAATCCCTATTTTAGTCCTTCCTGTTTAGTTAAAAGGTTTAGTCTCTGGTCTCTGTTCTCATGGAAACAAACAGGCCCGTACATGTGGATTTACAGGAACGGGCGTGCGCATACATCTACAGATCTACCTACGCGAGTGCTGCACGCCTGCACTGCACGTACAGTACGTTTGTGTACTCCTAGGCCCTAGGTATAGCGAGCCCCATTGCATGCATTTGCGATGGGGGGAAAGAACCGGCCCGTTCCCGTTCGTGTATCTTCACTGTCACTGAAAGAGTGGTACTTACCAGCTTTCACCAAGTGGCTGCTGCGGTTTTGTTGGCTAGCGCGCCTCTTGCTGCATGATCGATAAAACCGCGGCCCGGAGAGGAACCGGGGAAACCAGCGGCAGCCCAGCCCACCAGCAGCCGCAGATTTAGGATGCTGGATGCATTGCACGCACGGCCGGCGAGTCCTTCTCTCTCGTGATCGGTGCCTGAGTGGGCCCGACTTCCACGGTGGCCCCAACACGTGCCCCCCCGCTTCACGTGCCCCTCCTCCCCTCCCTCTCTCTACCGTCGGTCGCCTCGCCGTGCACATGACCCCAGTCGCCGACGCCGTCAATCTCGCCGTCACATGGCCAAGCCTTCCATTCCAGGCTATAAAAACAACACAACGAAACAGGAGGGAGAAGAGAAGCCAATCCATCACCGCCACCGCCCGAGCCCCGAGGCCTCCTAGGCCCATCCTGATCTCTGCCAAGCAATGGAAGCCGCCAGAGCCACCTCGTCCCGCCTGGCCCGCTCCGCCTCCCTCTCCGCCGCCCGCCCCCACCACCGCTCCCGCGCCGCCAGGTTCCCGCCGTCCCCACAGCTGACCCCGCTCTCGGCCGCCGCGTCGCCGCGCGCCCTCCCGCTCCACCGGACCAGGTCCGACGCCGAGCTCGCCTACTACGCGAGATCCGCTGTCGTCGTCCTCCGCCACGCCCCGATCCCCACCATCCTCGAGGCGGACGCGGACGAGGAAGGGCGCCAGCAGCAGGACGACAGCAAGGCGCCAGCGGGCCTCGCCGACGGCGCCGGCGCCGGAAGGAACGGCCGCGGAAGCGGAGGCCGCGGAGGCGGTGGTGGCGGCCAAGGCCAAGGCAGCGGCTGCGACATGGGCGAGTACTACCGCCGCGTGCTGCGGGTGGATCCCGGGAACCCGCTGCTGCTGCGCAACTACGGCAAGTACCTGCACGAGGTGGAGGGCGACCTGGCGGGCGCCGAGGGCTGCTACGCGCGCGCGCTGCTGGCGTGCCCCGGGGACGCCGACCTGCTCAGCCTCTACGGCCGCGTCATCTGGGAGGCGCGCCAGGAGAAGGACCGCGCCGCGGACTACTTCGAGCGCGCCGTGCAGGCCGCGCCGGATGACTGGTGAGGACGACGACTCTGATCCTTCCGCGGATGTATGGTGATATATAGCTCATTGTTCGAACGATCGATTATTGATTGGTACTGCTGTGATCGTGAAGCTACGTGCTCGGGTCCTACGCGAGCTTCCTGTGGGACGTCGACGACGACGACGACGACGAGGAGGCAGGCACCCGAGCGGTCGATGTGAAAGAGGAAACAACAAGCATGGTGGTCGCGTCGTGCGACTCCTCGGCGTTGGTGCCCGCGTGCTGATCGATCCGCGCGTCGGGGAGGACCGGTGGTCAGCTGCTTCATCTAGTACTGTTTGTTACAACTACTGTGTACATAGGAGGACGGACGCGGAACGGATCGGAACGGCGGCCGAGGGAGTACCAGCGCGTAAATCCACTGGCACCGCCGACGACGGATCGGACCGTCGATCGAGCCGGCGAGAAATAACGAGGAGCCTAGCAGACGGGCACCGTAGGGGATGCGACGAGCGGCGTGAATGAGACGACGGCGGCAGCAAAACTGCTTTCCGGTCAGGCCGTCGACGGGCACCTCGTTTGCCTCTAATCATTACTTACTGCTTGATAAATGTGTAGAGCGACCTTGTAGCTTGATGAATAACTGAACTTACTGAGCGATCGATGTACTGTATAGCTAGCGGTAGTCAGTAGTCACTGTAACATTTCGGCCTTTTCGTGTGGCTGCATGTTTCTTGTTTCGATCCGACTCAATAATTCACTAGCACTAGTAGACTAGTACTAGATGTAGTCACTAGTACTAGTACTAGATGTTTGTAAGTTGTAACTTTGTACTAGTACTAGATGTTTGTAAGTTGTAACTTTGTACTTCTAGTATAAATAATTTTGCCGATGCACCTAGTATGTGTGCACGTGCACCTGCGTATTGGTGCTCGAACAAACTAATGAAGCAGGTTGGATTGTGTGAGCAGCTCTGCATCCGATCCTGTTCATCTCCCGGCAACAGAGGAAGCAGGGGAACGAGCAAGGCCGCGGCCCAAGAGTGTCCAAGCCTAGCCGGCCCAGAGAATTGAGAGACTGCACCATGTAATGTGAGTTCCTGAGTCCGGAGCAAAAGGAGATTGAGAGTTAGAGACATTCATCAGAGAATTTTAAATCGAAACCTGTCCTCGCTTTCTTGCGTATTCATCAGAGAATTTTAAATTGAAACCTGTCCTCGCTATCTCGTGTGTTCTCGCTTTCTTTCCCTTTGTAAGAAAAATAGACCTTTAAGTTTATTTACTTTGGATTTTGATGTTTGATGACCAACGTAACCAAATTAGACTAATGGATTTGTAAGTAATTGTTTTGTAGTTTAATAGGATGCAAAACGTGACATGGACGAAGGCGACGTGATGATCCGATGATCAACACCTCAAGAAAGACATGTGAAGATGCATAGAAGACATACAAGGTCAAGCAAAGTCTAAGCACAAAGATTGGAACCAAGCCGGATACAAGATCGCGAACAAACGAGCCCGACAGAGGTGACCGGACGCGGCCCTATGAGTGACCGGACGCGTCCGATCAGGTGCCAGGCAATAGCAGGCGTCGGCAGTTGTGACCGGACGCTGAGCGAAGCAGCGACCGGACGCACCGGTGACACTGTTCATCGTCACGGTAGTGTTTTCAGCGTGACCGGACGCAGCAGACTGGACGACCAGATGCACGAAGTGCAGCGTCCAATCGAGTCCAGAGAGGTTCCAGAGCGGCGCCAGCACGATCGGACGCGTCCGGTCGATGATGACCGGACTCTGAGCCGAGTCCGATCAACATGCGCTCTCCAACGGTCGGGACGACAGCAGCGTCCGGTCAGTAGCAGAAAGTTGGGTTTCATCCCCAACGGCTATTTTCTCAGTGGGGCTTATAAATAGACCCCACAACCGGCCATTTGAGTAGGGTGGAGCTGAGGAAACATACCAAGAGTGTTTATACAATATTTTAGTGATCTTCACTTGCATAGTGCATAGTGATTCATTAGGTGATTAGCGTAGGTGCTTTGCGAAGTGCTTAGGTTGATTAGACCACCGCTTATGCGCTTGCTCTAGGTTTAGGCCTAGTGTTGTCGATGCGGGACCCATGGGGTTTCCCACGGAGAAGAGAGAAGAAGACCTAGTCCAACTAGGATTCCCTACATGTAATCCTACTAGAACTAGTTACACGTAATCCTACTAGGATCTCTACTTTGTAACCGATTAGGACTCCCGCCTCTCCTGGACTATATAAAGGAGGGCAGGGGTCCCTAGATCGACACACACACATAACCGACAGAACTCACAACCACAACATACCTCGCAACACAACAAATAACGTAGGGCGCAATATACTATCCACACCAGACTGGACGTAGGGCGCCGTGACTTTCCGACGTGCCGAACCAGTATAAATCATTGTCTCCCTGCGTTTACCATCGAGTTCCTGCAAACGCCGATACCCCTCCGAACAAATCACCGTCCCGAGTACCCCGTGACGGGTTGCCGGTGGTAAAACATCGACAACTGGCACGCCAAGTAGGGGTTCTTGGCGCTTTGCGTTCGAGAGCTCGGTGGACCTTAAGATCAAGATTTATCGCGGTTCTCGTCGGCCTCGTCGACAACTCACTGCAGTTTTCGTTGACAACTCGCTACAACTCTCGTCGACATGGACGATAACATCCGCACGGGATCCCAACTCCAGCAGCCGGTCAACAAGCACTGCCACTGAAGACTACAAGCGATCAAGCAACATGCAAGTCAGAGCTTTCCCTAGAACAAGTCAATCAGCACTGCAATTCATCTGAGTCCAATACATCTCAAAGCCAAAGAAGGATTGGTCAGCATCAACGGCGGCAAGAAGTCATGGTGATGTCTACTCGAATTCAGATACTAATTCTACTCTGATACGACAAGTACACGAAAATTTTCACCAGTCCAACCAAACGGAGGAGCACGACAAGGATGAGGAAGCAAGCAAGGCCAACATATATGTGTATATACTCATACACAAGAGACAAGATCAAGCAGTCACGATGATGACTCAGACTCTTAAATTCAGACCCCATGTCAGTTTGCGACATCCAGCCACATAAATATCTAAAGTTTGATCCAGAAGCACCATGTCCGATTGCACCGAGCAAACTAGCAAGCAAGCCGACTACAATACGGATCCAGCCAGCAAAAAAGCAAGCAAATTATTCATGCTCTACAGCTCCATGACATGTTGATGACGCAAGAAAGAACTCCACACCATTAATCAGAGATGAGCATGCAAGCCAATTAAATATTGAGGCATATATACACATATACATACAAGATACAAGAGACATGCGAGTGCCCATGCATGCATGTATCACGTCTGGATCCGTCACTATGCCAACATATGGTCGTACGGGAGAATCATCTTGTACTTGAATCAACTACGTCAACAAGCAAGCTGTCAAGTCGCGAGCAGCCAAGTACCAAGCATCTGACCGATTGCTACCACAACACGAAAGCAAGCCGAATCAAGAAACAAGTCGTCCAAGCCAGATAGCAAGCAAGCCAAGACCAACTACTCGGCCGAGGAGTCCGAGTACTTGGAAACAATTTAAGCGAGAGGAACACGTGACCTCCGCAACAACTCGGATACGATAACCGACTATGGTGACCAGCTACTAGGCTGAACGGCGCACCGATCGACTACCCGGCTGCGGTGGTCAACAACCCTACCATGAACCAAGCTAAGTCAAGCTTTAATTTTTAAAAATACATTCCGGATATTATTTGTATGCCTCTACTCTAAGTCTTCTCTTAAAGACACAAAAATCATCATGCAAGCAAACATAGTGCTCTAAAGTCTTCTCTTAACGGTCGCTAAAGTCCTCAGGTAGAACATGCCTTAATCCGTGAAGCTTGTCTACTCACATGGATGGTCATGTCAATGAACCTCTGAACCGAATGCCAGGCTCACATGGTCACATCAATGAACCTCTGAACCATACGCCAGAGATTCAAGTGCTTAAACGTAACAGGACACTACCTGAGGAATTTACATGGCCTAGCAAGAGCAAGACGTAAAAAGTTTATATGCATTTCATGATGCCGAGGCCCACCCCTGATTGATTATTCAAATATGGGACATGCTCCCGACTTCATATCCAGAATGTCATTTACAAACATATTTTATGTTTAACATGCAGGGGGCTACATCTATACCATGAGATCGGGAAAAACACGCTCCTGAGAGCTATTTTACTCAGACAAGTCTAGAAACAACCTAGTTTGATCAAAAGAAAACAACTCGGATAAGGTACATACAAGTTCAGAAACAACCTGGACAAAGTGCAAACAACCTAGACGAGGTACATCAAGAACCAGAGAAGTTTAGAAACAACCTGGATGAATAAAAAACAACTCGGAAGAGCATCACGGCTTAGTCAAACACTAAGCTCGGGGGCTCGACATTCGCTTCAACTACGCCCGAGGGCTCGAATTCAAGGATGAAAGACCAAGAATACAAGTACTCAAGACTACAACAAAGACAACACATCAAGACCCTTCATCCAATTTCTATTCTAAAGAAAAGTACTCGGAGAAGGCTCGGGGGCTGCGGGATACATAACCCCAAAAATTTTTGAAGATAAGAATCTGGACCCTCCAACTTTTGCAAGAAAAAGCGAGAGGCTCGGGGGCTACACTCAGTGAGTGCAATTTTTACGAAAAATTGCACCCACCGAAAAAGAACTCGGAGCAACCAAGAAGACTAAAGGGATCCTCTAGCTTCTTGTCCCAACAAGCAAGAGGCTCGGGGGCTACACTCACTGAGTGCACTTTTTTAGAAAAAAGTGCACATCAGTCATAACGAACCAACCAAAAGAAGATCATCTCAAGGTTTCACTTCAGAAGAACCTAGAACGGATTTACAACAACTCAACGAAGACCAAGAAGAACAAGAAGGCTTCTGAAGCTCATCCATGAAATGCTCGGGGGCTTGTCGATGCGGGACCCATGGGGTTTCCCACGGAGAAGAGAGAAGAAGACCTAGTCCAACTAGGATTCCCTACATGTAATCCTACTAGGACTAGTTACATGTAATCCTACTAGGATCTCTACTTTGTAACCGACTAGGACTCCCGCCTCTCCTGGACTATATAAAGGAGGGCAGGGGTCCCTAGATCGACACACACATAACCGACAGAACTCACAACCACAACATACCTCGCAACACAACAAATAGCGCAGGGCGCAATATACTATCCACACCAGACTGGACGTAGGGCGCCATGACTTT